TGCGAAAAAAAATGTAAGGCGTTCGGCGGGATTTGAACCCGCGTATCAGAGATGGCCTTTACCGGAAGCCAACCGGAAGCGTTTGTAGCTTAGCGGTTAGAGTGTTGGCTTCCAGTAAGGACCTCCTCTGATACGCGGGTTCAAATCCCGCCGAACGCCTCAAGTTTTTTTCACAATTGGGTCAACTCAAATACTTCCTGCTAGGCATCTTTTATGAGTTGCGGGAATCTAGTTATACTACTGGCATGCAGAGACGCCCTAGCAGTGGACGAAAGTGCGAAACTACAATAAAAAAAACCATAAAAACAACAAACCTCTGGATGAATAGGTTTTAGAACTTTTAGTTGGAACAGAAAGAATGTGGAGGTTGATTGTATAGCAGTTCTGCGGACAAACGGTTGGTTTCAATAGTGCTTCGATGGCGACTACCGTTAAGCGACATGAAATTCCCTAGGTGTGAAAATACCACGGCATATCCTATACTTTAAGAAACCTAATACAGTGTAACCGAAAAGTGAAAAAAATATAAGCCTGTGCATTGTGTCTTGACGTTAAAGTTGTTCCAGGTGCGGTTTTGATAAAGAGTAAACCCTAGCTATGGCTGGGCGCCCTTTATATCCAGTCGGAGTATAAGAATTATGTCTTTAAAATAATCACGAATGGAGCTGCACGTTCAGTGCAAACTTCACACAAAGGCTTGGTGTTTTGTAGGATCTTCAGCAGCAGAGGGGAAGTTTGCCTGAAACCATTACTTGACATGTTAGCTGCACAGCAGTTGGTTCATTCGAAGTGCTACTTACGTGACCCGCCGCGGAGTGTATGATGGCATCATTTTTCGTTTTTGGAAAAACAACAGTAGCTCAGGAGCTGAAATTACGAAAAGAAGTCGTAGTTAGAAAGAATCTTAGGGAAACTGTGGAAGTTGGGCTATCCATCCAATCACTTTACAGCCCTTGTATAAAATTTAATGGACAGAGGATTGGTAGAAAATTCTTCCGTTCGCTTTTGGAAAGCCAAATTTGCATTTTACGAACGAATTTAAAGCAAACGCATGCCTTGGATCATTTACTGTACCAGATTATTCACCAGTTTTCACTAGAAGTTGCTTCAGTAAAATGTGATTTTGCGAGATTAGTCATGGGAAAAAGTCATGAGGTAGATAATTATATCAAAATATTCCTACTTGAATAACTTTTACAGCAGAAAAGCTTTATATTGCTCAAATTTTCAAACTTATTTAATGGCATATTTCGATAAATAGGAAATTAAGATAACCAGCAAACCTGAGTCGCCGGTCGATATTCATTACCGTAACTAACAATAAGTGCCTAATATTTCACTCTGTCTTTTCCCCAATACCGTAATCTTTATTACTTTGTCATCACATTTAGTATTCGCGAGTTGCGGTAACACTTGCCAAAACTTTGTTAAACCGAGTTATTTCAGTATGGCTGGTGATGAGTAAGTGCCCTGAGTGGTTTTCCAGACCATTTAATGTAACTACGGATGAGACTCTTCGTCAATGCTTTCGTGTATAAAAGAATGCTCTTCTCCTGACAAATTATAAAATTACACAGACCGTACACGGATTTAAAATAAATTTGCCCTTATTTATAGTGCACCGATAATTGATGTGCAACCAAACACTTATAAGTAAAACCGGAAGATAAAAGAGTTTGAATTGTGAAAATTTGGATGATCATATTTGTGTGTCTTCAGAGCTCTTCTAATATGGATAACTTTGATCCGCTTAATGCTCGTGCTTGGACAAACGAGAAGCTTGAAATCACGTTAAGGAGCATAGAAGTGTGTGAAACATGAGTTATTCTGGGAACAATAAGCATTTTTGCATGCCTATACATTGAAACGAAATAGCTGACAAATAATGGAAGAAACATAAGTTAGCTCTGGTCGGGGTATTGCACAGTAATCCGAGGACAGACGGTTTCTTTGAACTATATATCTATATTTCGTCATCAGTTGTTCGGAGCAAGGCTTTAGATATCACGACGCAAAATGATAAGGTATCTGACTGGAATATTATCTATTTCGACAGGTGGTCCGAAGTTTTAGCGTAGAAGGCAAAGTCTCCTGGTGCCTCGCGTAGCAAACGAATCAATCGAAATTCTGGATGCTGGTGGTTCGTTTGCTTATCAGAGCACAGGTTTAATGCCGCTGGAAATTCATCTTTACATTAGCCTCCAAAATAGACAAGTATTCCTACCCAATTCATTTACGGATCATACTGAGTTTCTTTTGGAATTAACAAGGCAACTGGATTACCGGATTTGACATGAAGAAGCTGGTCTGGCGCAGTGAGCTCGCCAAAGTGCTCGCCCCCGAGGTATACAAAACCATGGAAGCCTTCTGAAAAGGCGTTGATCAGATCCAGTTCGGTTGGACAGTCGTCGACATATAGCTCGTCTTTCAATGATTGATAGACCGTGAGGCAGCCCTCCGCCAACCCACTTGGTTGATCATCCTCATCGGCAAGGTTCAAGCCGGTTGCCTCTGGGTTTTTTTTGCCGGTCTTTCTTGCAATCAGTTGCGGTTGCCGTTGATCCTGTTGATCGTTTTTGACAGCGGACAGAGTTCGTCGCACACTTTGACTGCACGCCTGATCGTACGGTGGTTTATTCTTTAGTTCCCTCGAGAGGAAGATGGTATCAGTACCAGCCACTCTGAAGCACGCTCCCACGGGCTGAAATTAGCAAAACGTTATGCTTAATCAACATGAGTACTGAACTGAAAGAATGATCGATCGGAATTCACAAATCAACTGAAAGAATAATTTAACATATTTGTGTCTCAGTAGTTTGTGTTCATATAACGAAAGCTGCAGTGCATCAACTGGACGGCCATTCACAGTTTAAATGAAAATTAGCATATGAAACCGTAGAGAGGAGAGGTCTAAATAAAATAACCAGCTTGAAAAAGAGTCGAACACACAAAAAGTAAGTTTGCTATACCGGACCTCCGTTCTTCTTATCGGTTGAACACAGTAATCTGCACCCCCTTATTACAAGTACTCTTTCGCTGCAGTTCAACGGGTCAGATATATGAGGATTCAGGTTAAAATTGGGACAGGGGAAATAAACCCTCCTCTAACTTATTTCAATGCCACCTGAAGTACCAGATGAGGCATGTTTCTGTGTTTTATATTGTTATAAAGTTCCAACCTCATTGACAGATAGGTAAGCAAAGCGACATGACAAATAGTGCAAAGATGGAAAGTGGTCCATCTGAGTAGTCACAGGTTCCTGTAATTATTTGCGTTGATCTTTATAGCATAGCTCAGTAGTATCACAGTCCTGTGTCCTTAACCCTGGTCTAAGCAGGCTACCCGATAAGTCTTTTGATCTATGTATGTCAAGCTGTTTCTGTTACCTTTGTAAACCTTCACGCAATCTTCCATGTAATCTTGCAATGAAGAACTTCAAAGGCCTGATTTTTTACGCAGACTTTAGGAAGCCTCAAAAGGTACGAAGGTAATTGAGGAGATAGACTTAGTAAATGGTGTGCAGCGCATACGAATAGAGTCTGAGTGATTCTTCACTGTCAGCCATATCCCAGGCACTACATAGTTTGAATAAAGGACACAGGTCACATCGAGAATTCGTTACAATCAAAAACAGTAAGGGAACCAATCACAGGAGACTGCATGGGTTCTGACTGATCAACTTTCAAATTTAGATAGAGAAGCCTGCAATCCTTCTCATAACTACAACGATATGCTTAGGAAAAACATTCTCAACTTCTGACCAGTAAATTTCTTCACTATAACCAGCAATGGATCAAGAGATTAAAGCAGAATGCTGCAATGATGCATCTGGTATCCTTAAGTAATAAAAACAAATACATGCAAAAAGAAAATATATTAGGACCCATGAACAACCCTGATGTTAGAGCAAACAAACCCCTTTCTTCCGTTTTCTTTTTTCGAAATAACCAATTGAAATATATCAGTATAGTAGCACATCGAGATCACATTCTACATTGTGATACAATAAAAAATAATACGCTCGGTTTAGGCGTAAGCAAAAACAGTAAAATAAAACCAAACCTGTTTTTGTGTTGGATGGCCTTTTGATGAGGAAACGTGTGGTTTAAAGGTATTGCGAACTCTAGTACAGAGTGAGAAAGAATGTTCAGCTGTTGCTACTGCGACCTTGGACGTCAGTTTGTTAATTCGTTGGGCTTTTGGCTCATCTGAGAGGGGCATAAATGGATAAAGTGAAATGGTCTGCATTTCTTTAGTAAACGCGTAAAATGTTGTAAAAAGGTTTTATCCAGATTACAAGCGAGTCCAGTACTGCTATAGAGACTCTGATTGTAAATGGGGTTTTGGAATTTTTTGAAACAGATCAATCTGCAGCTGAACTCATGGTGGTTTTTGGATTACTTGCACAGTTAAGAAAAAGGAACAATGACGTCCTCAGATATGCTACTTTAGATAGCCTTGCGATTCTTTCTTACTGAGATGAATATATCCTGCTGAATTTAGTAAACTCCATTTGATGTATGAATTTCAAAGTCCTCACGATTAGTATAAAACCCTTGGCAACGAAGCAATCTCTAGCCGTCGATAATAAAGTCAATCGGTGGAGTTTTGACCAGAGGCAGTCATTTTGAATCCATGGAGATCGGTACATAAATGAAAGTATATGCAGTTTCCCAGACAAATATCAACATAACTGGATTTTCTCAAAGGAATTCCGTTGGAGTTGGCTAAATATTCAACCTGCTATTCTGTGATTTGCAAATTGAAAGGGCTCTAATAAGCATACTCGGAACAATAACGTTTGGTGTAGCAGCATTCGCTGGGATACATTGAAGGGTGGGAATTTTTAACTGGACGTAAGCTCAGCCTCCCGAATGCGATATGCGTTAGAAGCAAAGAAAAAAGTTAGCATACTTGTGAAAAAATTCCAAACTCCGATTATCCTTAGGAATAGGGATATTGAAAGCTGAACATTGGGTCCCCTTTCTAGCAGAATTTATTTAGCGATCGATGTGCGTCTTAATCTGCCAAGCGTCTCCAGATTAGCCAGATGTATGTTCGCCGTTCCAACACTTGTTGAAGAATCAATTCAACTGACAGCGTCCAATTTCGCCAAGACATACTACTGCTAGCGGCTTCGGTTCCAACTTGCCCCTGTTGCTGCAGAACCAAGTCTTTCTGTTTGGACTGCGCGCCTTGCGCCCCAACCTTTGTCACTGATTGGCCACGGTAGTGCACTTCACCTTCATACAATCCGATCACATGAGATGCCCAGACTTCAGGGCTGCGCCAGTACCACTGGCTGGCGCGAACAACTCATCATGACACCTTTTAAAATACTTGCGCATCCTCTTTAGAGAGCTGGCCTTCCATGGAGTCTCGTGATTGCCGACCATATACTAGAAACGATCATACTCATGGTAACGGTGCTTGGCTCTGGCTTCTGCCCTACATCGCAGAAGTCGTACATTATGTTTTATCGACCCTCACACACAAAGCGTACTAATGTCGCTTTTGCAGGATATGGAGCATGTGGCCCAGCTGACAGTCTCCTTCATAATTTATTTTCATGTAAGCTTCTTTGTAGATCACACAGAAGCATCTGCTCCAGCTAAATCGTAACCAGCTCGTCAGTCCGCTGAGTCTAGGACCCGCTCTTACAACCTCTTCCTCTGTCTCTTCTACTTCCGCCTAATGTTGTGATCAGTGGTGTTTTCCTCGTTCTGTGGCTGGTCTGGATGTTTGGCTGGTTCCAGTTTGTTTAACTGGTCTTCAAGAAACTTATTCCTGCTATTCGTTATTGTGATTAATAGTATCTCTGTGAAAACACTGGATTTGTTCTCGCATCATCTGGCTCACGTTGTGAAGATGGGAGATTAATTGCGCTAAGTACATTAGTTCTTGATCGAATTGTTCAGATTGGGCAATGAAACATGTGCTAGAAGACCACATCTTTCGTTGTGGCCGGTAGAGGGGTTTTGCCATGTGACACATCTAGTAAATTGACTGTCTCTGTTGAGAATAGGCATTGGCTCCTATACTCCATGGTACTTACGCCGCAAAATATATGTGAGAGGTCAATCAGCAGTCAGTATTTTCAAACCATCATTAACTTACTGAGAAATCGATTCAGCAGAGTCTGAATGCTGAAGTCACGAGCCACCCAGGCTAGCGTGTCTGTCGTAAGCCCCGTTGCAGAGAGACTGGGACGTTTCGAACTGTTTTGGGACTCTGAACGTCCACGGCCAGCCTCTGCGGAATGAAAGAAGGTCTCGATGGGTAAGTCTAATAGCCAGCCACCGGTTAGAAAAACTAGCCCATTTTTGTTGGCTGGCACACGAGTTGCGGTAGCTGCTTTTTTGCTCTTATCTTTGATCTGCTTTGCGGAGAAGAGATCGCGTGGTATG